AAGTAGAGACCAGGACTGTCATTTTCAGGTAACCCTGTCTGCTCTGGAGGAAGGAAGCAGAGTCACGGGAGGAGACTGTCTGTGCCCATCAGTAATGAGATCATATGTCCCCACATGTGTGCAAAGCAGCAAGGAAACCACCGCCCTCTCCCTCTCCCAGCCAGGGAAGCAGCAATGGAGGCCTGGGGCTGGGCTGAGCTTTCTCTGACTTTATGAAGTCATGGAAGTATTTATGAAGCTAATATTACCGTAATCTTCAAGCCAGACAAAAACAGTACCAAAAAGTGGGGAAGGGAAGCTGCAGATCAATATCAATGTGTGTGTGTGTGTAGAGAGAGAGAAAGAGAGAGAGAGAGAGAGAGAGAGAGAGGAGAGAGAAAGGAGAGAGAAGAGAGAGAGAGGCTTCTCCGTGTAACCCTGGCTTTTCTGGAACTTTCTCTGTAGACCAAGCTGGCCTCAAATTCAGAGATTTGCCTGTCCAAGTGCTGGGATTAAAGGTGTGTGTACCACCACTGCCTGGTCAGACCAATCCTTTATGAATACTCTTAAATTATTAGCAGGTAGAATTCAACAATATCTTTTTAAATTATGAAACATAAAAAGATGTCTTTGTTCCAGGGATATAAGGACAGTTCTTTATTTACTTCAGTCATTTGCTTTACATGCATGTGTGTGTGTGCGTGTGTGCATATGTGTGTGTGTGCGTGTGTGCATCTGTGTACACATTTATGTGGGTACAAGTGGGTTTGAATGTGTGGGTGCAACGGAGGCCAGAGGATGACCTCAGATGTCATTCATTAAGTTCTGTCCATGTTACACTATACAAGTTATTCTAAAATTTACATGGAAAGGCAAAAGAAATAGAGTAATAGTTTATTTTTCAAAAAGAGAAATAAGATGAGGGTACATAGGTCAGTGACACAGATAATAGCAGCCAGACAGAGGCCACGCAATATGCTTGACCGGTTTTTGGCAACAGTGGTTCAGAAGATAGCATTGCAAACAGTGCTGCTGGGATCTCATAAGCAAAACCAAATCCTTTGACCTAAATGTTGTCTCATGCAAGAATAAACTCAGAAGAATCATGAGCTTAAATGAAAAACTTTTAGAAAAAAAAATAAGAGGTTAAATTTAGGTAAAGAGTCACATGTGCCCCGTAAGAGGAAAAGTGGGTTGATTAGACTTCATTAAAATGAAACACATTTCCTTGCAGTAGCCCCTGTTAAGAAGAGAGCAGGAGGGGGCAGGTATGGTAGTGCACACTTTTAATCCCCACGTGGGAGGCAGAAGCAGGCAGATCTCTGTGAGTTTAAGGCTAGCCTTATTTACATAGCAAGTTCCAGGTCACTTAAGGCTACATAATGAGCCTGTCTCAAAACAAGCACTTAAAGGAGGATGTTACAGATTAGAAGAGACTTTTATGCTGCATGCGCAGCAGAGGCATCTAGAGCATCTAACGGATGCTGCAGGTGCAGCAGTGAAGGAAGAAGTCCACCTAGGATGTGGCTAAGCGCAGGATGAGCATGCCATGCTCTGGTCTCAATGCTTGTGTGCCCCCAAATGTGTGTGCTGAAATCCCGCTCCCCACACTGCTGGTGTGATGTGGTTCTCTAGAGGGATACAGGAGGACGTCCTGTACTGCTGGTGTGATGTGATCCTCTAGAATACAGGAGGACGTCCCGTACTGCTGGTGTGATGTGATCCTCTAGAATACAGGAGGACGTCCCGTACTGCTGGTGTGATGTGGTTCTCTAGAGGAATACAGGAGGACATCACGTACTGCTGGTGTGATGTGGTTCTCTAGAGGGATGCAGGAGGACGTCCCGTACTGCTGGTGTGATGTGATCCTCTAGAATACAGGAGGACGTCCCGTACTGCCGGTGTGATGTGATCCTCTAGAATACAGGAGGACGTCCCGTACTGCTGGTGTGATGTGATCCTCTAGAATACAGGAGGACGTCCCTTACTGCTGGTGTGATGTGGAATATAGGAGGACTTATAAAGGGGTGTGTTAGCTTGGCTTACAGACTAGAGGCTGGCCACATCGGAGAGGCTGGGACCCCAGAAGCTTCTCAGAACCTAAAGCTAGATGCCTTGGAGGTCTGAAGCTAGTACTGGAGGCCTGGGAGAGGCCTTCATCGCCGCTGGTTCTCAGTCTGCATTGGAAGGCAGAAGAAGCTGCAGTCAGATCGTAGCCGTGGAGTGCACCCCTCAGGAGGATGCAAGCGCAGGCCAGCAGCACTGGTTTCCCTCAGTCCTCTGCACATACGAGCCCCCCTTTAGAAGTGGCCACCCACTCTGAGGCTAGCTCCCCCACCCGGACCCAATCCAGAGCGTGTATCTCGTAGGTTGTTTACAGATTCGGTCAAGTTGACAGTCAAAAGCGATCACGTCAGCTGGTGTGAGGAGGTCAGGTCTTCGGAAGTGTTGGGTCGTAGAAGCAAAGCTGTCATTAGTGACAGAGGTCTAAGACACCCCCTATCCGCTCCGACCAAGCAAAGTCACAAAACTCTAGGACGTGTGCTCTCATGTCTGCCAATACCTTGAGCTGGAGCTTCCCAGCTTTCAAAACTGTTAAGTCTTCACCCTTTATAAACCACTGCCTTGTGTGTAAGCCACCCATACTGTGGTGCTTGTTTAGCTGTCTGACCTGAGACAGGTACCAGATAAACATAGAAGAGATGATCAACACTCTTAGCTATTAGAAAAATGCAAATTAAAGCCACAGTGAGAAAACTGTGTATAGTTTTGGACATGGGTAAAATAAAGCAACATTATCTGTAATCCCAGCACTTGACCTGCTGCGACAGGAGGATGCTGGGCAGTTGGAGTCAGTCTGGTCTACAAGCCTGAACTACATGACTCCCTGTCTCAAAAGCCAATGATAACAAATAAATAAAAAAAATTAAAATAGTGATATCATCAAATTCTGGGAATTATATGGAGAAACCGGGCTCCCATACATCTCTGCTGGAAATGCTGTATGCTTCCACTACTCTGGAGCTGTAAACAGCTCCCCAGTCCCTTAAAAACCAAGCACACACTGACCATAGGACCCGATGGTTACGCACCTGGGAGTTTATCCAAGAGAAATATGTTTATACACAATCCTGCCCAGGAATCTTCGTAGCAGCTTTATTCATAATAAATCCAACCTGAAAGCAGCCCAGATGACCTTCAGAAAGTAACTAGTTATACAATTGCCCCAGTCATAGGGGGACTTAGACACAGAAGGGGAAGTTTATTTCCAGGATGAGTTCCAGAGAGCAGCACTGAGGGTAGCAAGCCAGACCCAGAAGGCTGTCCACCATATAATCCATTTTATAAGGTTCTCTTTGTTGTTATTGCTTTGTTTTGTGTTTTTAAGAGAGAATTGTACTGTGTGGTCCAGGCTGGCCTGCAACTCCCTGAAGTCTTCCTGAGAGTTGGGCACCTGGCTTAACATTGTTGTCGTAGTGATGGAGAAGAGGTTGGAGAGGTGGGGTGGGCTAGGTGTGGATCTGGAAAGGCCAGAGAGAAAGATGCAAGAGGTAATGGGAATGTTCCACATGGTTACTGTATCTTCATCAGCATCCCGGCTGTGACATTGCAGTTGTGCAATGCCTATCATTAATGGACATTAGGCAAGAGGTACCCAACATCTCTCTGCTTGCTTTTCTCGCCTTTTCTCTTCCCTCTCCCCATCCCTTCCCCCTCTTCTCCTCTCCCCTCTCCCCTTTTCCTTCTCTCTTCTCCCTCTCCCCATCCTTCTCTTTCCTAGTACTGGGGATTAAATCCAGGGTTTCGCATGTGTGATAGAAAAGCACTCTATCACTGAACTGTATCCCCAGCCGTATTTTTATACTTGTTATGACAAGGGTCTCACAAAGTTGCCCAGGATGACCTTGAACTTGTGACCCTCCTATTTCATCTTCCCAGTTAGCTGCCTCCACCAAGCCCAGCTCTATGCATCGTTTCTAAACAGTGTGTATATCTGTAGTTATCTCTAATAAAAAGTTTAAAAACAATGATTAGGAAAGCAGCACTGAGCTCATGGAGAGTTAAAACACTGAAAATAAAGTGTGTGTGTGTGTGTGTGTGTGTGTGTGTGTGTGTGTAACTGAAAGTTTCTCTCCTGCCTGCCAGTTCCTGAATAATCACTCAGAGGCTTAATATTAATTACAAACTGTTTGACCTATTAGCTCAGGCGTATTATTAGCTAGCTCTTACAACTTAAATTAACCAATTTTGTACTATTCTATATTTTACCACAAGGCTTGTGATCTCACATTTTGCTTCTCTAGTGGCTGCTGGCATCTGCCCAACTCTGCCTTCTTTCTCCCTGTCTCTCTGCTTGGATTTCCTGCCTAGCTATATTCTGCCCTGCCATAGACCAAAGCAGCTTCTTTATTAACCAAAGGTAATAAGACATATTCACAGCATACAGAGGGGCATCCCACATCGTGCGTGCATGTGTGTGTGTGTGTGTGTACACGTGGAGGTCAGAGGACGGCTTGCAGCAATCAGTCCTCTTTTCTAGCCTCATGTGGACTCTGGTGATGAGCTCAGGCCGTCAGGGTTGGCAGCAATAACCTTTACCCTCTAAGCCTGCAGAAGGCATTGAAAGTGTTGGTTTCTGAAAGCATATGCACGCTTTGATTACTCCGGAGCACTCCACCATTCGTGTCTCCGTGGAAAGCAGAAAATGAGGATCACTGGAGTAGGCCAAGGGTCAGTCAAGTTTTGGCATGTCTTCCTAAGAAAAGTAGCCATCAGGCTGGCTTTCTTCTCAGGAAGGCATCTCCTGTCTAGTAGCCGAGCTGGCTGGTGCGCTGCCCACCTGCCTGTCTCCCGGTGGGAAGGTTCTCTAAGCAGTAGCAGTGCTGTCCCCATAGCCTGGGATGGGGAGAAAATCAGTGCTACCTAGCTGGTGGTTGAGGGTGTTGTAAGCAGTTTCTGCCCAGGGGTGGGGTCTGGAGTGGAACCAGAACCTGGCGTTCACGGCTGCTGTTTTCTTGCAGACACACACTCTTGTTTTACCCAGACTCTTTCACGGCAACCACCCGTCGGACTTATGCCAGCGAGGCAAATGAGGTGAGTGGAAGCCCTGGGAGTGGAAGCTCCCTGGGAGTCCTTGGGTCTAGGAGGGCCGTCTGGGGACCCTAGGCCTCGAGTTACCCTCTGCGTGGGCCTGAACAGTGCTCAGGACATTCTGAACCACATTTCCGCTTAATCCTTTTTTGAGGCTCTCCGTCAGTAGGAAGACCCTCTCCCCATGCATGTGGGAGCGGTAAACACACACACTCCATCCCTCCCAGCCAGGGAGCTTGTCGGAGACCTGCCGGGAAGCAGAGAGCTGGGGTTCAGCGTGAGGCTCTGGGGTCTCTCAGCCCCATCTGTGCTCAGTCCTGTCATTTGAAAGTGACTCTGTTTCCTCTATGGTGGCATGGAATCATCACAGTGACTCCATGGCAGCAGTTCTCAACCTGTGGGTCATGACCTCTTGTGGGGGGTTGGGGTCATACCACCCTTTCACAGGGGTCACTTTAGACCATTGGAAAACATAGGTATTTACATTATAATTCATAACTAGCAAAATTACAGTTATGATGTGGAAACAAAATTAATTTTATGGCTGGGGTCACCATGAGGAACTGTTGCAGCGTTAGGAAGGTTGAGAACCACTGGTCTGTGGGGTTATGGTTGGGGAGGGGGATGTGTCATGATGGAACCCATAGCCAGTGCCTTGCTCCCAGAGAGCACTGCATAAGCCTGGCTTTGATGCTGAGGACGAGGACAGTAAGCATCTCGGTGACTGCAGATAAAGACATGGAGATCCTGCCAGCAGGAGTCGTTGCTGGCAGGGACCGGGTGATTCTGAGTTCCACTCCCAGCATACCTCGGTGGTGCTTGTAGTTCTCCGGACAGCGAGAGCCAACTAGGAGGATGAGGCTTGGCCACCCAGAATGCGTTAATATTACTGTGAAGAGGGCTGGGGAGGGCTGGTTACTCCGCTGTGGGGTCCTGGCTTCCTAAAACGGGTCTAACCCTCTAATACAGGCGAGCGGCAAAGCTGTTCTCATCACAGGCTGCGACTCCGGATTTGGGTTCTCTTTGGCCAAACATCTACACTCAAAAGGTTTCCTTGTATTTGCTGGCTGCTTAATGAAGGTAAGACTGGGCCGTTTTCTTTACCATTGTCCAAGCAGTTATTCTGTGTGTGTGCATGTTCACATGCATGTGCTTTTCTAACATGTGTTGCTAAAATAGCCTACATCTTTTCCACTTCGGTCTTGTTTGTTCTACGTAGCTCTTTGCATGCATGTATGAGTATATACATGCATCCATCCATCACCAATCCTTATGTCTGTCCATCCATTGCTCTGCCATCTATCCACTTGATAGGCCCAACTAGATGATGGTGATGAGCCCAATGCTATGCTAGATGTTGTGGAACAAGACTGGTCCGAGATCCAGTATCTTAGTTAGGGTTACTATTTCTGTGATGAATACTATGACCAAAAGCAAGTTGGGGAGTAAAGTGTTTCTTTTGCCCACACTTCCATATTACACGTCTTTGTAGAAGGCAACGAGGGCAGGAACTCAAATAGGGCAAACTCCTGAAGGCAGGAGCTGATGCAGAGGCTGTGGAGGAGTGTTCCTTACTGGCTTGTTCCTCATGGCTTGGTCAGTCTGTTTTTTTTTTTTTGTTTTCGTTTTTGTTTTTTGAGACAGGGTTTCTCTGTGGCTTTGGAGCCTGTCCTGGAACTAGCTCTTGTAGACCAGGCTGGCCTCAAACTCACAGCAATCCGCCTGCCTCTGCCTCCCAAATGCTGGGATTAAAAGCGTGCGCCACCATCGCCCGGCTCAGCCTGCTTTTTTATAGCACCCAAGACCCCAGCCCAGGAGTGGTATCACACACAATGACCTGGGCCTTCCCAAACCTATCACTAATTAAGAAAATGGTCTATGGGCTTGCCTACAGCTTGATCTTTTGGAGACTTTTTCTCCGTTGGCATTCCCTCCTCTCAGATAACTCTTGCCTGGCCCAGACTGACATAAAACTAGCCAGCACTCCCAGAGAGCTCTCCATCCCGTGGTGAGAGGACACCATGCACAAACACAGTCGAAGAACGAGAAAGAAAGCATTCTCAAGCCCTTTCCAGAATTTTCCAGGGTGCGGGTGGGGGTGCAGAGAAGGGAGAGATTGACAGACAGAAGGGACAGTCTTGGAAGTGTAGAGCTAGCTGCTTTGGGACATCAGGCAGCATTTAGGGGCCACGAAGGGAGGTATTAAAACATGAGGCTGCACATGTAGCTAGGGGACTGTTCCCCAGTTCGGAGACTTGTGTCACCTTCACAGTTCACTTTGAGAACATTTCCTTGGCTCAGTATTTTGCCTTTTGGTTCTTTTCAGTTATTCGCCCCCTGCCCCCCGCAACACACACACCTCAAGCCCTGGACAACCACTGACTTCCATCCCCCTAGACCTGCCTTCTCTGGATGAATCTCACATTGGACTCAAAGTCACTGGGTCTTTTTACTGTGTGTCTTTCACCTAGCACAGTGTTTGTTTGTGTTTAGACAGAGTCTCACTGTGCAGCTCTGGCTGGCCAGGAGCTCACAGAGATCCATTTGTCTCTGCCTGCGGAGTGCTGGGATGAAAGACCTCCCTGGGCAGCCAGGGCGTTGCCTTCACAGACCAGGAAGTGGGGAGGCAGTAGCATCAGGCAGCCTGGAGTCATGGACTTGGGGCTTGACAAGAATGGAGCGCCAACACACCTGGCCTCAGCGTGTTTTTGAGAGTCATCTATATTGTAGCATTTGTTATAATTCATTTTTCTCTGCAGAATATTACTTAATTATATGAATATGCTACAGTACTTTGCTCATTTGTACCCCAGATAAACTATATAACATCTTTAGAGATTTATTTTTTTGTATATGGATTTTTCTTAAAAAAAAAAGATGTATTTATTTTATGAATGAGTGTTCTATCTACATTTGCGTCTTTATACCAAAAAAGGGCATCAGCTCCCACTGTAGATGGTTGTGAGCCACCATGTGGCTACTGGGAACTGAGCTCAGCACCTCTGGAAGAATAGCCAGGGCTCTTAACTGCTCAACCATATCTCCAGCCCACGTATGGATGTTTTGCCTGCATATATGGAAATCACATGTGTGCCTGGTGCCTCCAGAGGCCAGAAGAGGGTGTCAGATCTCCTGGATCTGAAGTTCTAGATGATGGTTGTGCGCCACTATATAGGTGCTGGCAACCGAAACCAAGTCCTCTGCAAGAGCAGCAAGTACTCTTAACTGCTGAGCCATCTTTCCAGCCCCAAACTGCATTTTAAAACTTACACAAAAATCAAAATAAACATTCATTCAGAATATTTATAAAACTTGCCTTGGCGTTTGGCTATTTTGAATAACGTTACCATGAACTTTCTTAGTCTTGTGTCAGGGTAAGCCTCAGGCTTTGTAGGGGGTTAGAGGCAGTCCCTACCTGGGCTGGGTCCTAAATCCAGAACCTGCCCAGCATAGGAAGGACAGTGGTGACCGCAGCCCTATCTCCCCCAGGACAAAGGTGATGCTGGGGTCAAGGAGCTGGACAGTTTAAAGAGTGACCGCCTGAGAACTGTCCAGCTCAATGTCTGCAACAGCGAAGAGATAGAGAAAGCAGTGGAGACCATCCGCTCCGGCCTGAAGGACCCTGAGAAGGGTAAGGGTGCCGTGAGACTCAGGGTTGGTATGTGACGCTCTTCCAGGGATCCTACCCAACACTGCCCTCTGTTTGCTGGCCTCCTGGAGAAAGGTTCCTCTATTTATTGTTTAAACTCTTCCTTCTGCTCGGTATAAGGAAGTGGATTAAATTAAACATACCTGTGTAATAGGGCAGTGGAATAGGGCTAGAGGCAAGCTTGAAATCTGTGGAGTGACAGATTGACTTCCTAGTTCAGGCCGGTTCATCCAATTCTCTTTGAATGCCCACTCTGGGCTGAGTGACGGGGACACAAAGATACCCAAACGCTCTCTGTCCCTTAGGATCTTAGGGTTCAGTGGGTGGACTGAGTTCATCATCAGGGATCAGGACATGAACAGAGGCAGAACAGCAAGGAAAGGGGCCGGGCCCAGTGTCAGGGGTATGGGAGGAGTGGGTAGTGTGGTCGAGAGCCAGGGAGGTGATGCCGGGGGGGGGGGGGGGGGCAGAGCATGAATGGTGCTGGGAAGCAGCCCATGCTGTGCTGGGTGTGACAGAGGGTCCCATCGCAAGGTTGAGACTGGAGGCAGCAGCAGATGAGGTAGGGGACTGGCTTCTTGGCCGAAGGTGCCGCAGAGTAAAGGGATTGTCTTGAGGTAATGGCCTGGCTCGACTTCCAAAGCTCCCTCTGAAGCCTGCATTAGAGTGGGGACAGATGGGTTAAAGGGGAGTGTGGGTGGCACAGGCCTAAACATGGTGGTACTGGCGCTCGCCGGTGGTACTGGAGCTCGCTAATGGCACTAAAAGAACAGAGCTGGCAGAGTTGATTTGGATATGGGGATGAAGAAGAGGCAAGAGGTGTCTGTCCTACATAGTTGGTGTCCTCAACGGCAGGAGCAAGATAAGGGACAGGTAAGAAGGCATGGAAGTGCCCATGGGACACCCTGGGGGGAGTGTCCAGAGGGGATACAAGGAGTTAGGACCCAGGGAGGAGAGAGATGGATGTCACAGAGGTTGGATGGAGTACCTCAAAGAAGTATAAAGTATGGAGAGCCAGGGGACCAAGGATCGAATCCTGCAGAGCTGCCTCAGCACACGGTGTCCTGAGTTCAGCCTGGGTGGAGGACCTTAGTGTGAGGGGATCTGCTTTCCAGCTCAGAGGGGGTGGGGTACCATTCAAGTGGACCCCGAAAGCAAGGAGCTAGGCCACACAGTAGGCCCTGTGGAAGAATCAGCCTGTGCTGTTGATTTTAGAGCCCCTTGGCAGGCCAGGGAGGGGGGGGGGCTGCCTCAGTTAGCTCCCTGCTGCACAGCTTCTGGGTGGGGTCCAGTGATGGGGGCCGGGGGACCCGCACCTGTGCTGTGTAGATTACCGAAATCGCCAGGCTGAAAAACGCTGCCATCTCTGAGAAGAGCTTGTGCCATACGGCCAGCCATGGGAGAGACTGTCCGTTAGGGAGACTGTCACTGGGGTCACCTCCCCAGCTCCTTGCTGCCACCCTACCCGCCTGGAGGCCATTCTGGGGCCCTGTGTTCTCCAGGAGTGCCCAGTGTGTTACAGACCCACTGAAATCTGTTTAATGATTAACAGCGGTTGGTGTCCCTGGCCCATTTAGAAAAGGCCGGCTGGGCCCCAGTGGGATGATTGCCAGCCACATAGCCTGTCACCCTTTGTCCCCACAGCCTCCCTGGGCAGCTAGGGTGCTGCCTTCACAGACTAGGAAGGGGGATGGCACAGCACCAGGCAGTCTGGAATCACAGCTCGTGGGGCTTGATGGTAATGGGGCACAGCTGGGATCCACAGCCTCTGCTCCGCCCGTCAGTCACCGTGACCCACTATAACCATAATGCAGTTAGGGGGAAATGATTTGGAACTCTTGGGATCAAAACCAGAAAATAAAACAGTCAGATGGCATTTGCATGCCGGATCCTCCCGCCCCCCAGTCTTTCCCATTCTCCCCATCTACCTCTTCCCTGCCAGTTATCCACCCCACCTCCCACTGCTCGCCCCCTTGAGCCCTGTGGTCCTTTTCCTGGTAAATCAGCAACAGCTCCCACATGCAGTGCTAGCTTTGACCTCCAGGTGGCGCCCTCCCAGAACATCTCAGCAGTCACGGTTAACACAAGGACAGGTGTACTCCCATCTTGGGCACATTTTGAGGTTGGTTTTCACTCTGGTTCCATGGCACAGTCACTACTGGAGTCTGAGAAGTCACCTGAGGTGCTGAGGTGTCCTTAGAGCCACCTTTCACTAGTCCCACCTACCCTGCTTTGTAGGACTCAGAGGGACTGGACATCTGTGCCTGTTAACAGCCCTCCCAACTCCAGGAAAGCGTACACACAGCTGTTGACGGGCTGTGGGTGTGGCCTGACCCCGGAGTCATTCCTTACCATTGAGTAAGCATTTACTGAGTCCTTGCTGTTTGCCTGGGACTATGCTTGGTGCCTGGAGGGCTCTGATCTGGCAGGAGGAGCTTGGAACTGGACACCAACCTAGTGGCTTCGGGATAAACCTTCGGAGAACAGTTAAACAACCCAGAGGCTTGATGCCTTCGGCAGGGAACCTTTACATCAGGCCCGTCTCTTGGTATCAGAGTGGGAGGACTGGATTTCCCCGGGGCTCCACCTCTCCAGAGAAATGTGACTTGGATGTCAACCAGGCCCTGCGTGGGCCTCAACTTGCTCATCTGTGAAGTGGTAAAGTACATCTAGCCAATCCCATTAGTCTAGACTTCACCCCTGTGGTGACAAGGGGCAGGCTTCCCAGAGGAGCAACTGAGCTGTTGGTACTGAGGGAGGCAGGATGTGTAGGGGTGGGAAGAAGTCTGCCAGGGCTTGTGTGCTACCCACAGACTGAGAGCTACAGGAGCCAAGGAGAAAGACAAACCTGGCTGCACGGCCTGCAGAGAAGGAAGATACAGATTGAGGCAGGGAGACCTGGGTCTTCACCGACAACACAGCAGAGAGGTCAGCCAGGACCTAAGTTCATGCAGAAGGGAACAGAATGGACTCTCTGCCCCAGCAAAGGAAACCAGCAGCTATGTGGGGCTGAGCTTGAAGGCTCCTCCGTCTAGGTCCGAGTTGCATCTTCCTCGCCTGGTCCTAGTGACACCGAGCTTCAGTTACCTCATTCAGCTATGGGCTGATTTAGCATCTACTGGTGGCTTAGTTATGAGGGTCAGGTGACATCATCATAGTGCCTCTCCAGGGCCTGGTGGCTGTCTTTCTAACCGCCAGGCATCGTCCCAGCCCTGGCTGACACATCGGAGGGGAGAAGTGAAGGAGCTAGAGGAGCGAGTGTTTTCACACTCACAGGACAGACGCGGCATGTTCGCTGTGCTCAGGGTGAGTGAGGGCCATGCAGTGCAGGTAGAAGGGACGGTAAGGCGGAGTTCTGGAGCTCTTCCTCTTAGGGGTCCATGGGAGTTGTCTGGACATGGAGGTAATGGTGAGATCTTTCTCAGGGAGCAGCTGCCTTCTGGACTGGCAGGGGCGCTGTTGGAGCTTTGGCTAAGGACTCTGGAGAGCTCTGAGGTTAACTTCTATCTGCCAAGTCACCAGCTCTACCATGCAGTAGACTTTCACAGGTCGAGTTTAATTCATCTTTATGAGACAGTAGTGCCAGATAGGATTGTTTCATTTTCAGATTGAGCATGCACGCATGCATTTTTGGTCATGTGATACCATCCCATCTGAATCAAACACAAAGCCGCTGGAAGGTTCTATAAACATCTAGCAGACAAGGAGACACTGTGTCAGCATTCAGAAGAGTCAGGCTGAGCGGGAGACACTGGGTGTGTCTGCGACGGGTGGAGGCTGGTAGAGGAAAAGCGCTGGGATGCCCGGTGTCACTAAACCCAGGGGAAAGCTGGTGTCCAGGGCCATTGGTAGACAGTGTCTAAGAAGAGAATAGAGACAGAGGCGGGGTTTACTTGGTGGCCTCTCCGGCCGGCTGTAGGAGAACCTGGTGAACAGGAGACGGAGGTTGTAGTCCAGAGCTGTGTGACCGGATTGAGAGGATAGGATGTTCTCAGAAGTCTGGCTGCAGAAGGAAGGAGATCAGGTGACATGGTTAAGAAGGCTCCTTGGGATGTGGAAATGTAGTGTTTGTAGACATCCACCACCAACACGCACGTCTTGAATTCCTAATAGAGATGGAGTTGAAGGGCGGCTACTGGGGCAAAGGAGAAGTACCCAAAAGGAAGAAAAGCCTGCCAGCTCTGGGCGGGGTGGCATGGGTAGAGGCCATGGGTTAGCCTAGCCTCTGGACTCAAGGAGAGAAGCCTCGGGGAAGTCAAAAGACGGACCTGGGAGCCGTGGATTTCTTGGATGCCTTGGACCACGTGGGTTGTGCCTCAAGGTCACAACTTCAGCTTGAGAGCTGAGGGCAGGAAGCCCCGGCAGGCAGCTGGTGCAGGAGGGAGCTCTTTGGACACTTAGTTAACCAGCAATTTCCTCTCCTTAATAAATGCCCTTAATTCCCCGTAATTGAAGGAGAAGGCACCAGAGGTCAGCTGACTAAGCTTTAATTTGGGCAAGACGGAAGGAAAGCAACATGAGACCAATTACTCTGTCATTTACACATTCATTCTCATGATGCCCTGGGCCGTATTCTCACAGGCCGCGAGCAGGCACCAAGTCGGCTGAAGCCCCTGCAAGGAGCACAGAGCTTTCAGAGGCAGGAGAATAAGCCATAAGGAGACCAAATGCTGAGGATCTCCACACCAAAGAGGCAGGACCCCACTCTGCCCTGGGGCTCTGACCCATCCACTGCTTACACCCAAAAAACCAAACTCGAACCGAGTCCTGGAAAACAGGCTGTGCTCCCTTGGCTCAGGTTCAACTCTGCCTCCGACTTAATGATGAGACTTAAATCTGTCTTTTCCCTTGACAGCTTTGGTTTCCCTTGCCTTGCTGCAAAAATAGTTTGCAGACAAACTCCAGGAACTTTGCAGAACCAACACTGTCTGAGTCTACAAAAGCCAGCTGTCCCTTAGCTGCTCTCGTAGGGAACAGTCAATGCCTGAGAGAACAGGCATCTTCTCATAGCCTGTATCACCGCACAGTCTCAGGAGAGGGTAAGAAGAGACACACTGACTGAAAGACTCCCCAGCCAAGGTCCCTTAATGTGTGACCACCAGCAAACAGCAGCCTGCTCAGAGGAGGAGCTTGAGAGAATAGAGGATTGTTAACAGTCCCAAGGTGGAGTGGGGCGGCGCCTGACCATGAACAAGGCTTGGCAGCAGAGCCCATAACTTAATGGGTGACCTTGAGGTTGTGTGCCCTTCTATGAGCTTGGCTTGGAAAGTTCCTGAGGTTTCCTTGACTGCTGGCTAGAGGGGCCGTCAGAGCAATAGCTGAGTTGGATGAATAGGTGCAGGGTGTTCATGTAGAGGAGAAATGCCTGTCGCCTTCACTCTTTTGTTGCTGTGATAGACACCATGACCACAAGCACATTGGGAGAGGGTTTATTTGGTGTATAAACTTCCACATCATAGTTCGTCACTGAAGGAAGTCAGAGCAGAAACTCAAAGCAAGGGCCTGAAGGCAAGACAGAAGCAGAGGCCGTGGAGGAGTGCGGCTTCCTGGCTTGCCCTACATGGGTTGCTCAATTGCTTTCTTCCACACCACCTGGCAAGAAGGCATTTGGAGCACCCATAGTGGGCCCCTCCAAATCAAGAAAACGCCCTACAGATTGCTTACAAGCCGATCTGATGGAGGCATCTTTTTAATTACTACGACCCCTTCCCAGATACGTGTCAAGGTGATAAGAACCATACAGAGCTGGAATGGAGGGAGACACAGGCCTCCGGAGACCCTACAAGGCTCAGTCAGGAAGGGCTGAGAACTGATTCTGTCAGCACTGACATGAAGCCTGGATGTTCTACCATAGGGACAGTCTATTTAGTCAGGGTGTTGGCTCTCTCTCTCTCCCTTTCACTCTAGAGATGGCCGACTCTAGAATTGTTTCCTGGAAGCCTTGGGCGAGAGGCTGGGAGTCGTGGAAGAAAGAGATCAGAGCAGAGAGGGGCAGACTAGTGTTTGTGTTTGAGTCCATATGGTGACTGGCTGTGTCCTCTCGTGTGCAGGAATGTGGGGCCTGGTTAACAATGCAGGCATTTCAACATTTGGAGAGGTGGAGTTCACCAGCATGGAGACGTATAAGGAGGTGGCAGAAGTGAACCTCTGGGGCACGGTACGCACGACAAAATCCTTCCTCCCCCTTCTCCGGAGAGCCAAAGGTGAGTTGGGGATCGACAGAAGTACTTGGACAGGCAGGGGAGAGGGGTCTGTGGCTTTCAGAAGTGGAGCAGATGAGCTGGGATGGTGGTGGACATCTGTAAACCCAGCACTTGGGTGACCGAGGCAGGAAGACCTTGAGGTTAAAGTCAGCCTGTGATACATAATGAGACCCTGTCTCAAAAACACACAAGAAAGGTAGTTCAGTTGTCTGTGCACTCCGGGCTCATGGGTCGTAGAGGCTTGTCCTCTAGGAACCAACTCTGCAGAAGTCGGCACATGTGCACCAGCTGTTCTACATGCTGTTCCATCGCTGTGTAATGCTAAACAAACATTAGCATGTTCCGTAGATTAAAAATGAGACGTTGAGTTATTCAGTTCAAACAAGACCAGAAACTTGGAGAAGAGACGCAATCCCCAAATCATATAAAATAGCCAAATGTGAGAAAACCATCTATAAAGTCATAAGATCTGACTTTTCCCCTGGAACAGCAAGCCCTTGTGACAAAAGATACCAGATCCCCAGATCTGCCCCAAGGTCTTGGCAGCATAGGCATGAACGGGGTTCAGTCTGTAGTCTTTGTGAGGAAGCTCAACCTTTCAGTGACTTCACACTGGGGGGGAGGGGGCAGGTGCTCCTAGGGGCACGCCTTAGGCAAGCTGACCCAGGTCAGCCTGGACTGAGAGGGATCTGCCCCAACCCTATGGGGAGTTAATGCTGGGCCTGTGACCAAATGCTTTTGAGGGCACCATTTTCTCTGTGCCCGAGTCCCACAGTGCCACCTAATGTCCAACCTTGAAATCAGCTTTAAAAACCGGGCCCCTTCTCCTGCCCCAGCCCACTTCTCTCTGGATCTGGTGTTGGGAACAGCCCACCAACCCAGGTCCTCCTCTCTTCTGGGGTGTTCTAGGCTCCCTTGTGCCAACCTCGTTCTGGGCACTCTGTCTTCTGCGCTCTATCTCCATCCCTAGTTGTGCCAGCGGTCAGTCCCCACCTGGACTTGCCACGTTACTTCTCTGTGCGCCTGACTGGGGAGAAAGAGTTTTAGCTTCCTATTCTCCCTGACCAGCATCAGACCCTGCTTAGAGTCGATCACAGGTCCACACAGACGTAGCCATTCCATGTCCCACGGGCGCCCAGTGTGTTTTCACCCCACAGTATTGCCACCAGGCAGGCTTTGGCTGCCATCAGCCAGTTGTGTGTCGCCTAGTCTACTGCACCCTCCTGGTCCACAGGCTTGTTTCTCATTTGTTCCCCTTTCCTGGTCCTGCCTGGCACAGCAGGACCCTTGGAGAAGCTGGGGAATACTGGTTAGCTGGGTGGCCCAAGAAGGTCCCCTGCCTCCGGACGGTTCTAAAGCTGTCCCCGCCGGGCCACCACGTCACAGGGCAATGCCCCCTGAGCAGATGTTTGCCGTCTTCTTCTATAGGCCGTGTTGTTAATATCAGCAGCATGCTGGGCCGCATGGCCAACCCAGCCCGCTCGCCATACTGCATCACCAAGTTCGGGGTAGAGGCTTTCTCTGACTGCCTGCGCTATGAGATGCACCCTTTGGGCGTGAAGGTCAGTGTGGTGGAGCCCGGCAATTTCATCGCTGCCACCAGTCTGTATAGCCCTGAGCGTATCCAGGCCATCGCCAAGAAGATGTGGGACGAGCTTCCCGAGGTTGTTCGCAAAGACTACGGCAAGAAGTACTTCGATGAGAAGATCGCCAAGATGGAGACCTACTGCAACAGCGGCTCCACAGACACCTCCTCTGTCATCGATGCTGTCACACACGCCCTGACTGCCGCCACCCCCTACACCCGCTACCACCCCATGGACTACTACTGGTGGCTGCGAATGCAGATCATGACACACTTGCCGGGAGCCATCTCTGACAAGATCTACATACACTGAAGAGGCTCCTGTGTCCTCTGCCACGGGATCTGGTGGGAGGGGGAAGGCTGAGGGGAGGGAGTTCATACGGTTACCTTTTGATGACTTGCTATGGAACATCCACGGTCGTAGGAAGACTTATCTTAGCATTAACCTTACTTGTTCACGTGGTGGTAGGCCTTCACAGATGTGGGGGTCACAGGTGGGTGACCCTAAGCCTCAAGGCCAACATGGTGCTTCTATCTAGTTCAAGTTGATTTTATACAAAGATTTGTGGGAAATACCTTTCTATTAAAAACAGATTATTAGACTAGTATCCAAAATCATTTCTAAGCCAAAGCATCTGTTCAAAATATTTATCCCATTTAATCCTTAAGCTAGTCTCACGAGTAAAAAGAACAGATTTTTTTTTCTTGTGTGCAGGAAGAATTTGCAGCTCCGTGGCACGTGGGTGCAATGAAATACCCCTTCCATTGCACCCAGGTGATCCTGCTCGTGCTTGGGCATTGCCGTAAGACTCACCACATTGTGTTCCAGGGACACCTTGGACCCATTGATCCCTGAACCCTCTTACCAGCAGAGTGTCTTCTCTTGAGACAGTCACACCAGGTGCTACTGTGTGTTCTCTGCCCATCCATGGCACTGTGCGACTGGTGGCCAGCAGCCACTGACTCTCAGCTGGCTAGGGATGGGAGATCTAGAGGTTGCCAGCTGAGGTTTCTCCACCATCTTTGAAGACTCAGGTTGGGTCTGGGCAGAGGTGCTCTTTGCCTAGGAATATGGTTTGGTTTCGCCTTGGTGCTATCCTTGGGGCTGTAGACAGATTAGCAGGGCCAAGGCTGGGCACTGAGACATCTCCCTAGCAATGGGTCTGGGTACCTACTGTCTCATGTGCTTATGTGGTGCATGCTCACTCGCGCGCACAGACACACACACACAGACACACACCTGCTCCACAGGACTTCAGGGTGGTCACCTCTCCTTCCTACTGTAAACATTTTTTAATTATGCTGAGACACTGCTAGGCAGTCTGTGTTGCCCATCAGGAAGGTTTGAATTTGAAGGCTGCCTGTCCCTCTAGTTGATCAGGGTCTGGGTATTTGGATCCAAACCAAGTACTGCCTTCTTCCTGGTGGTGTCAAGCCGTGAGCTAGAGAGTGCCTTTTGTGGCAAAATCCCGACCTGCCACCAGAGGGAGCCATGCCTCCTCGGCTAGAGTCTGCTCAGGCGTTTTTTCTTCCACACAAGCTTGAGGTCCTCCAAGAGCGTTTGACCACCTACTTAGACACTGCCTGGGAACAAAGAAAGAAGCAAAGCCCCTTTAGAAACGGTGATCCTTACACTCCCAAGCAGCTGTCTGGCCTAAACCCGGAGCCCAGTGCCAGGAGAGAGCAAAGGAACCTAGGCAGCTAGACCAGGCTGCCGGGTGCAGCCTTTCTGAAGCTAAGAGGGTTCCACAGAGAGCAAATTCAGCTTGCCGTTTGGGCTTTGGACCGCTCCGGATTCAAACAGGGGTACCCGGTTCCAGCCCCTGTGTTCAGGCAAGACAGATAGGGCCTGGGAGGGAAGGAAAGAGGGAGGCGGGGCCTCAGGGTCCAGAGAGCTCCCTCCCAGCAGCGAGCCCACGGCACCAAGCCGCTTTTGTACTGCAGTGACTGTTTCCAGCTGGAGCCTTCAGGTGGCGTTTTTACATCTTGGAGAATTTGTTTTCGTGCTTAATAAAGAGATTGGTTGTAACATGTGGAGAGTGGCCTGGAGTTGCACGTCTGCATCCATCCACCACTGGGAACTAGAAGGGGATTAGAAGTGGCACATACTTGAGTCCCGAGTAGAAATAAGCTGAATGCCAGAGAATCGCCACCGGCATCTTAAGCTGCAAAAGAGGACTGCCTGGTCAGGCTCTTGTGATTTATTTTACTTAAGATTACGCTGACTGTCTTGCTGGCCCTGCGTTTTCCTCTGTATTCTCGTAACTGAAAAGCCTGAGGCTACCAGGCATGGCCGCACACCCCTTTAATCCCAGCACTCCTTAGGCAGAAGAAGCGAGCTGATCTCTGTGAGCTCAAGATAAGCCTGGTCTACATAGGGAGTTCCAAGCCAGCCTGGACTATACAGTAAGACCCCTGTCTCAGAAAAGAAAACCCCAGTGTACCTTCCCTCCAGATAATCTCAGTGGTAATTCAATCCCCTCCCCCTTCCCTTGTTGCAGCTACCATCCGGCTTGGACACAGGACTGCCTTTGATCTTTAGGAGACAGGTGAGGTGGGCAGATCACAGGGTATCCCCGTTTTATAGGTCATATAACCAAGGCCCAAAAGAAGAGGGTGACTCGTCCAGCATCAGGGGGTGGGGACAGAACATCCAGCCTCCAGAGTTATGTGAATATGTATTTTATTGCTTAATCCTCAATCGCTGGCATGTTTTTATAACTGCCAAACTGACCAGTATAGCCAAGAGCCTGGCATTCTTTGTCTTACGGGCTCCTTCCCATGGCCTTTATGGCAGGGAGATGGGCTTGCAGTGTGTGCTGGCTCCGTCAGCCCAAACCTTTGGTTGTGCCTTTGAACCTCAGTTAGTTCCACAGGCAAGAGGAAGGAAAGCATTTCGGACAAACCCTTGAGTGGGGGTGGGGGGAATAAGGATGGGACTCAGGTTGAGCTTAGCCTGCACCTAGGACTTCAGCTGGGACCTCTGGCCTGCTGCAGCTAGCGTGAACCCACCTTTGATGGCTGGAAATGCACAAGGTTTTTGCAAGATTTTTCTGTCTGCTCAGTCAACGCGGGCCGAGCTTCACATTCCACGGCCACCGCAAGGCCAAGAGGCCATGCGAGCAGGTGACGAGACCACCTGGCCTTGCCTGTCACAAACTGCTAGGGCTGTGCCCCTGCCACCTATGGCAGGGAGTCTCGAGCTTCCCGTGGCGAGGTCTGTTCACTTCCAGTGTTTCAACCCTGCTCTGCAAATCTGTGGGCACTCTCCTTCGCCCAGCTCCGAGAACCAGGTTAACAACCAGACTCCTGTGTACAGCGCCAGACACACTTACCCAGCCAGTTACACCTCTCTGCTGATCCTTCCAGCTGCCCTGGCAGGCAGGCAGGGCGGGGTCAAGATCTCGTTTTACAGATAAGGTAACAGGCTTTCCCAAGTCTCTCATCACGTGAGGGACAAAGCGTGAGGGACAAAGCCGACTGGCCAAGCCTGAGCTCACCTCCAGCCCAGAGTCAGCGAAGCACGAAAAACAGGACAGATGGTACCAGGATCTAAAATAAGGAGGGGGGAAAAAAAATACCTCGATTATGTAACAGTAAGAGGAATCTCTAAGCTCAAGCACAGTAACCATCCCAGAACACGGCCACACAAACCAGCTCCCCCTGCCCCCACCCCCACTCCATAGGCATTCTAAGCAGGGCTCCCTGGGAGGCGGTGCTAGAGGAATCCTTCAGCCACTTTGCAGCAGGCCGATACTGTGCCCAGTGGGCATTTCAGAGGACAGGTTCTAGAAACGCTTGAGTCCACACCCCTAGGGACTTGAGAGACATGGGAACAGGGCTTAGGACAGAAAGGATTGGTTTGGCTTAAAGAGCACTAACAAAGTGAGATGAAGGCACCAGGACTGCTGTGGAGATTACCCAAGGCATACAAAGCCTTTCTGGTCTGCACAATCCTTAGAGGATGGCGATTCGTGAGTGACAGCTTCAGAGGCCTAGTGTGAGCGTCTAGGATGGGGACCAGGGACCGTAGTTTGGCCAAGGGCTAACAGAGGCTGCCTTGGAGCTTGAACCTCGCTAGTGACAGAGGACTCAGTACCCGGGAGTCTTTCCTTGGTTCTAGAAGATTTAGCCAAAGGCGGAGTCAACCCTGCCTCTACTGTCTAGCCTCAAGTCTTGGGCACATGACTTTGGCTCTGACCCAGACCTCCACAGAACAATTGACATCTCAATCCTCTTGATATTTGGTAGTGGCCAAGTTAAGTTCAAGAGCTCAGGTCCATCTTTTGACAAGGCTCCCATACCCCTGGTGTGTAAACGGGAGATTTCAGCCGTGGTTACCCCGTCCCTCACGGACAGATGACACGTTCTGGGCCGGAAGGCCGGCCGAGTTGCCTTCAGGCGTCCAAGAACTTTTCACCTCTGGCTAGGTGCTAACAGCCGCTTGCTCGCACGTGCCCTCACAACTGTTGTCTCTCATCTCCTTCCACGGTAAGCTGGTTGGTTATTAGTGATGGCGAACATTATGCCCATTTTGCAGATAAGAAACCAGAGCCTCAGGGAGGTTATGTGATTTATGGGAGATCATAGTCAGTGTGCCAAAGCAAACACAGCATTCAAGTTTCTGTCTCCAGGACTCCCTCCAATTCCCCTAGTCTCCATCAGGACCCGAGATCTGAGCTAGACTTAAGTTAGAGATGGAACAGTGGGCAATGCGGTAACATTAAAGCCAGCTTCTTCCCAGCCCACAGTTTGCAGAAGACGGAGCAGAGGGGAGGCCTGGTCTTCTTTGTCTTGTGCTATGTCCAAGGTATTGTCGAATGACCATTCCCTTGATGCGAGGGGGCAGAGAGTAAAGACAGGAAAGATTCTAAGGCAGGGCTGGGGCCATTCTGCCTTCCCATTCTTGGACATGTATCAGAAGGAGGGAGAGATGGAGGGAGGGGGAGAAAGAGAATATGAATGAGGATTCCGGAGATGCCGCTGCCCAGCGACTTTGTCCTGCCCCCAGTGAGAATTAATTACTCTCTCACATGTCAGGCTGGTCTTGCTTATCCAATTAGAGGTGAACTTAATTACAGCTCCTGGAGTAGCCGCACTGGGCTCCTCAGAAGTAGAGCAGACTGGCCGTCTTCCTCAGTTTCAGCTGTAGTCTTCACGTAAGGGATGCGTGGCTCTGCAGCCACCTCTTTCCTCCTTTTGCTGTGTTCCACCGAAAATATTTGGTTCAGAATGTCTGGTCTGACGAGGTGCAGGACCCACCATAAGCAACAAAGACAGAACTGCCGCCATACCACCCTGAATATGCCCCCAATCTTGCCTGATCTGGGAAGCTAAGAAGAGTGAGACCTTGTTAATACTTGGGAGGAAAAACAAAGATGGAAGCCAGGCTCTGTGTTATGTATCTGCCTTCCCAGCAGAAAGACAATCAGGAACTCAAGGCCAGCCTGGGCTCCAAAGCAAGGGAAGAAAAGTGAAACAAAGAGCAGCAGGATGCTAAAGGAGAAAACACGAGATTTACGGAGCAGCAAGGGCATCTTCAAGGAAAGGGGACAAAGAACAGGCCCCTTCCTGTGTCTTCTCCAATACTCGGGGTGGAGGGGGTAGAGTTAAGAGCTACCTGTCCTCTGACTGCAGGAGCTCTAGGGTGAGATGTTCTTCCCAGCCACGCTGGCTGACGTGGTGGGGGATGGGGTGGACAGACCACACCACTTTCTAAACTGTTGGGTGCTCAGGACACCCTGGTGTTACAAGACAAGTGTGTGGAAGTACCGGGGAGGGAAAGGCAAGCAGGCTGTAGGTGTTCCACTGTGGGAAGCTGGATTTCCAGAGGCCTGGACTGACAGGTCAAATGCTGGAACTTGGGGAGACAGCATCTTTAAAGAAAAAGCACAGTAATTTGGGGAGTCTGGAAGAACTGCAGCACCAGGAATAGGTGGGGTGAGATACGCAAAGACTGGTTTAAATAGGATCTCCAAAACCACCCAGGCCCTGGCTCCAAGAACAATTGTGTAAGAATCTCTCGGGAAACTGGCTCAAACAGCAGAGGGGAAAATCAAAGTCATGGTCGGCCAGGGAATGTGGCTCAGTGATGGAGCACACGCCTAGTATACAGGAAACCCTGGGAAATCCCAGCACCACAAAACACACAAAGACACCTAGAGTCGGGAGCTAGAGTGGGCCCAGGACTTTAATTCTTCAAGGTAACTCCAAAGCACAGCTGGAAAACAGAAGGCTGGAAGAGAAGAGATGCTGTAACATGCTGCTGCAGTGAAATCCAAGCGGGGCAGCCAGGCAGTGGTGGCACACGCCTTTGATCTCAGCACTCAGGAGGCAGAGGCAGGTGGCTTTGTGAGTTCGAGGCCAACCTGGTCTACAGAGTGAGTTCCAGTGAGTCAGTACACAGAGAAACCCTGTCTTGAAAACAAAAACAAAAATAAGATCCCAGCAGTGTGTTTGGGTGGGATGGAGGTGACATTCAACCCCAGCCCTTGTTCCACCCTTTGTGTCCCAGAAACACCTCTCATGCTCGAGGGCAGCTCACTGAAACTCTCAGTGCCTAGACACTGGAACTTTCTGAGATCCCTCAGAGTTCCTGGGTTTGACAGGGAAGGGGCAGCAATGTAGGCTCTTGTCTCAGTCAGGGTTCTGTTGCTGTAGGAGACACCATGACGAAGGCCACTCTTAAGAAAGAAACTAACTGAAGGCTTTTCTACAGCTTTAGAGGCTTCCTCCACGGTCATTATGGTGGGAGCGGGGACAGCGCTGGGAAAGTAGCTGAGACCCTTATGTCCTGATCTGATGGCGTCAGGCAGAGAGGGAGACACTAGGCCAGGTGTGGGCTTTGGAAATGTCAGAGCCCCACCTCCAATGACACACCTCCTCCAACAAGGCCACACCTCCTAATCCTTCCCAAACAATTCCACTAGCCAGGGACCAGGCATTCACATCTTTGAGCCTATGGGAGCTATTCTAACTCAGAACTTCACATCTCTGAACAGAGAAGGACAGTGGCACCTTGTCCTGGGTTTGAAATGGACTCTATGAGAACCACCACAGCTGTTGGGGAAAATCCTGCATGTTTTCTAGGTGAAAAACTCCGTAGGTCAACAACAACAACAACAACACAAAAAAGGAGATTGGGGAACATAGAGAATTTGGCTCCTTGGGGCCAGGATGGTACAGCTCCGGCCCTCTGTCCCAGGTCCCAAGCTCACTCACCCAGGATCTCCACAGCAGCTGGACCCCTGAACGTACTGTGAGCAGGAGCCATGGGCACTCACAGAGGACTGCTCTGAGAGGCTGTTCCTGCTCTTCTATGTCCCCTAACCCTTGAGCATCCCTGTCAACCCTACAGGTTGCAGGGATCCAGACAAACGGGAGGCACACTTGTCCTCCCAGCTCGTCCTGAGCTTGATGATGTGAGATACTAGTTACTGAGGTGACTCCCTCAGAAAAGTTACAATGTGGAGTTTCCCTCTGTATGCTGTGATTACCATTGATTGATAAAGAAACAGCTTTGGGCCTATAACAAGGCAGGACTTAGCAAGGCAGGAAAAACTAAACTGAGTGCTGGGAGAAAGGAGGTGGAGTCAGGAGAGAAGCCATGGAGCCCTGCCAGAGCCAGACGCCGGAACTTTACCTGGTAAGCCACAGCCATGTGGCAATACACAGATTAATGGAGATGGGATAAATTAAGATATAAGTGTTATCCAATAAGAAGCTAGAGCTAATGGGCCAAGCAGTGTTTTAATTAATACAGTTTCTGTGTGGTTATTTCAGGGCTAAGCAGCCAGGAACCAACAAGCGGCCTTACTATAACAAAGTTAAGGTTTCAATTACTGTGATGAAACACCATGACCAAAAAGCAAGTTGGAGAAGAAAGGTTCTATTCGGCTTATGCTTCCACATGTAGTCCATCACTGAAAAAATCAGGACAGGAGCTCAAACAGGGGAGGATCTTGGAGGCAGGAGCTGATGCAGAAGCTGTCTGGCTTGCTTGCCAAACCTCCTTTCTTATAGAACCCAGGATCACCAACCTAGGATGGCCCAACCCACAATAGCCTGGGCTCTTTATCACTAATAAGAAAATGCCCTACAGGCTTGCCTACAGCCCCATTCTATGGAGGCATTTTCTTTCTTCTTTTTTTCTTTTTCTTTCTTTTTTTTTTTTTTTTTGGAGGGGAAGGGGTGAGGCTTGAGACAGGGTTTCTCTGTAGCTTTGGAGGCTGTCCTGGAACTCACTCTGTAGACCAGACTGGTCTCGAACTCACAGAGATCCACCTGTCTCTGCTATGGAGGCATTTTCTTAACTGATGTTCCCTCCTCTCAGATGGTTTTAGCTTATGTCACATTGATAGAAAAGTAGCAAGTATTATGAGTAAGGAAAACAACGATCCGGGGTGATGCCTGAATCCTCACTGCTAATGTGAGAAGAAATTTTGAGCAGGTAAAGGTTGCCCCCCAAGGCGACCTGCCTACTTTGTGGGGTGCCTGGGTGTGGTGGTCTGCACAACCCCCTACATTCTAAAGAGAGTCAGAAAGTTGACAAACTTCACGACAACATTGACTGTTTTGGCAGGGGTTGTCTTCCAAATAAATCTTGTTTATCTACTATGTGTATAGTAGGTTATATACTATAACCTACTATACACATATTGTATAGTAGGTTATATACTATAACCTACTATACACATATACAGGGGGGTTAGCCAGCATAGTAATGGAAGGAGAGAAAAAGTCTTGGCCGCATCCCTGCCCTTTGCCCTCTTGTGTATGCTGTGAGAGCGTTCAGGGACCTGGCAGGAAGCTCACTGGAGCGCCCAAGTGTCTCTTTTGAGTTTAGAGGTCACGCAAGTGCTTGTGCACATGGGTCAGGGGCCACTTGCAGCCTTCTGTGAGGATAGACAGCCTCTCCTTTGGCTGCTGTCACCATCTGGCTGCCGGTAGGGTGCTCTGAGCAGCCATGGAGGAAGCCCCAGGCCCAGCCAGCCAAGAGGAACTCCCAGAGCTTCAATTTCACGCACTCTGCTCTTCAGCTATGGATTCCTGCCTAGAAAACACCCTGTCGTGTCCTCATGACACCTCATTTCCAGTGAAGCCTGCTGAGATTCAACAATGCCACGAGCTGTCCCCATTTCCTACCTGTGCCCCACAGGGAGGGATCCTGTCCTTAGGGAGTGTAAATGAACTCTACATGAAGCAACCTCCCCGTCTCTGAGGCACAGGGTTTTGTATATACACACACACACACACACACACACACACACACACACACACACACAAGCACGCGCGCCCTCCTTTGAAGTGTGTTTTCCCATTTGTCTCAGTCACTGATTTACTGTGTGACTGTGGTCACGGTCCGACTGTCTCTTCTTTGAGCCTTGGTTGCCTGTGCACACAATCAATCAGTGACTCTTCTGTGACTGATCCCAAGTGCTTGGTAAGAAATTCACTTATACTGAGGTCTTGTGGAAGAAAGGGTTCCACTTTAAAAAGAATGAGGGGAGGAAGGGGAGGAAAAGGAGGGGAAGGAGTGAGGAGGAGCTGTTTAAAAAACGTTGGCCTAAATGACTTCACAACTGCATCAGAATTCTTTTTTTTTTTTTTTTTTAGTTTTTAAATTGTTTTAAATGTGCTATACATTTCCCTCCCACCCTTTTCCCCCACGCCTCTTTCCTTCCACCTTCCCCCTGCCCCCCTCTCTATTTACTCAGGAGATCTTGTCCTTTTTTCCCCTGCCTAGGTAGACCCATGAATGTCTCTCTTAGGGTCCTCTTTGTTACCTAGGTTCTCTGATATTGTGGTCTTTCGGCTGGTTTTCTTTATTTTATGTCTATTTTCTACTTACAAGTGAGTACATGTTATATTTGTCTTCGTTGTCTTTGTAGGTCTGGGTTACCTCACTCAGGATGGCTTTTTCTAGTTCTGTCCATTTGCCTACAAATTTCAAGATGTCCCTGTTTTTACTGCTGAGTAGTACTTCATTGTGTAAATGTGCCACATTTTCTTCATCCATTCTTTAGTTGAGGGGCGTCTAGGTTGTTTCCAGGTTCTGGCTATTATGAATAATGCTGCTATGAACATAGTTGAACAGATGTCCTTGTGGTGCATCCTTTGGGTATATGCCCAAGAGTGGTATTGCTGGGTCTTGAGGTAGATTGATTCCCTATTTTCTGAGAAACCACCATACTGATTTCCCAAGCAGATGTACAAGATTGTACTCCCAAGCCCAGGATAGCCAAAACAGTCTGTACAATAAAGGAACTTCTGTGTCAGAATTTTTATGAGTCTCTTACTAAAAGCTCATCATTAGATTTAACCACCTCAATTCCGATTCCCAGGTCAGACACATCTTCTCTCCTCCATCTGCAGCCGAGGGAGGGAGATGGGAAATCAAAAGGGGGAGGCATCTCCCTTAAAACAGCCCCAGCTAGGGTTAAGTCAGTCCTCAGAGCTCTCCTGCCTCCTGGAGTTGGGACCATTTCAGGCCTTTGCAGGCCTTTCTTGCCCTGACACCCGTGAGAAATTGGTAAGGAACTTGCAAGAGTGATAAGCCCCCACCACCGACTCCTGCACCTGCTCGTTCAACACAGCTCGCCTACCATGGAATTACCCTCTTCTCTTTACAGACGGGAGAACGTGCTCAAAGAGATGAAGGGGCTTGAGCCAGGTGTCAGCACATGATTTGAACACAGTAATTTTGTTTTCTGATACCCAGCTGAGGCCACAGCAGCCTCTGTGGCCCAGCCAAGAGTGGCATGGCCATCCTCAGTTCTTGGAGTCCCTGTGACAAGCTGTCCCCTTACAACCAGGAAAAGGAATGCCCTGTTCAGCCACAGGTCTAGTGTGTTTCGTGTTGATGCAATGAACACCATGACCAAAGACACCCTGGGAAGAAAATGGCTTATTCGTTTCCTTCCACATCACAGCCCACCATGGAAGGAAGCCAGGACAGGACCTAAAGGCAGGAACCTGGAGGCAGAAACTGAATGAGAGGTCATGGAGGAACACTGTTTACTGGCTTGTTCCTTGTGGCTTGCTCAGCCTGCTTTCTTTCTTTCTTTTTTTTAAATATTTATTTATTTGTTATGTATACAATATTCTGTCTGTGTGTATGCTGCAGGCCAGAAGAGGGCACCAGACCCCATTACAGATGGTTGTGAGCCACCATGTGGTTGCTGGGAATTGAACTCAGGACCTTTGGAAGAGCAGGCAATGCTCTTAACCTCTGAGCCATCTCTCCAGCCCGCCTGCTTTCTTTCTTTCTTTCCTTTTCTTCCTTTTTTTTTTTCAAGGCAGGATCTTCCTATATAGCTCTGACCATCCTGGAAGTCTTTCTGTAGACCAGGCTGGTGTCAAACTCACAGAGACCTGCCTCTGTCTCCTGAGTGCTGGAATTAACAGTATACTCCACTATACCTAGCTCAGTCTGCTTTCTTCTATCACCCAGGACCAACTTCCAAGAGATGATATTGTCCAGAGTGGGCTGGGCCCTCCCACATCAATCATTAACTAAAATGCCCGCAAGCCAATGTGATTGAGGCAATTTCAACTGAGGTTCCCTTTTTCCAGATGACTCCAGTTTGCATCAAGTTCAACAACAACAATAAAAATCAACCATCACAGATACAAAAAGTCACATTATGGCTTGGGAAAAAATATTCTTTGTGCTGCCAGCAGCCCCAGACATTCAAGAAAAGCGGGAGTCCAAGAAGCCTGAATTAGTGTCAGGCTAGGCAACTGCTTCTCAGCTGGGGTGGAGCAGGGCACAGAAGTCTTTGGTCAGAAGAATATTTCTTTTGAAGTCTCAGTTTCCTCTTCAGTGGGAAGTGATGAAGGGTGAAAGGTCACTAATCCTGAACAAGCCATATAAGTAAAGCTCACCTGGAAATACACACAAACCTGGGTCTTCACCACAGGCCTGGGGATCAGCTCTTGGGGTTGAGACACCGTGGGAACCACGCTGTGAGGTTTTTCCCTGTGGCCCATTGATGTCTGAGACCACGCAGGAGACACGATGGCCTGACTGTCCTTCCTGCTCTGACGTCCTCTCTGAGGCATTGGGAAGCATGGTGGGTGCACTCTGACTCCCGCGATTTCCTCTCATGCCTTATGCCTTAGTGTCCACCGCTGGAAGTGGGAAAGCTCTCAAACAGATGACCAGTGTGCAGATTCTTTAGGAAAAGCACAAGTACCAGGAGGCACAAGGCCATGAACCAGCTGCAGTTCTGGGGCCTCTACATGATAGCTATTTCCCAAGCCCTCAGCTGGGATGAATCAGGTGACCTATGACAATGACATATCTCAACAAAAGGATGGTTTATCTAGTGGGGCCGCCACCCACACATATTTGCTTGCAAGCTCCATTTCCAAAACTGTCATCTTCCCTTCATATTTCAAAGGATACCTTAACGTCCAGGATTCCAGAGCGGTCTGGTCCACTCTTGGGTATTTGTATGCTCAGCATCCCTACACCTGGTACCCACATGCCTGATACTCACCTGCTTGGTCATGTGGAGTCTGCTCACTCCCAAATTAAGCCAGTCTTTGGCTATACACAGCAGAAACCAATTCTGGCCGACTTAAGCAGAGAAGGAAGGAACGTATTAGGGAAAATTTGGTGGTGTTAGGACTAGTGGTTAGAAAACCAGGCTTGGAGAACACGTAGAGACAGTTCTAGACACCTCCATGTCACGGAGAATCCCCAAAACTAAAGTGGCAGACCTCACAATATGATAACTATCTACTCATAGAGATAAAGCATCCTGAGAGAATCTGCAACCCAGGGAAATATTGGCAAATTTTGGTATGGTGGATGCCAAGAACTACATTTTCCTGCTCTTCCCAATTGAATGTGTGTCCCCTCTGAGATACACCCTCTCTATGTTCCGCCTACTTATTCATCCGAAGGCTATCCTGTGTTTTCCATACACAGCCAGAGGATCTATTAGCTCTGCCATGGGGACCCACCCCTTTCTTTCAGTACCGGGTAGGGGTAGGCCCCCACACACACTGACACTCCAGCCCATACTTCCTCAGTCCATTCGACTTTTTCAAAGAAGGGGCATTTGGATTTAAACTATCCACTGAAAATGCATCTTATTCTCAGAACACTTTTCTCCCTCATTCAACTGACAAATTATTTACCAGACATCTACCACTGCATACCACTTAGTGTGCCAGGTGCCCAGGGAGGGGAGCTGGAGTGTGGGGCAGAGCAATCCAGCTGCCTCGTTACTAACTAACCTATACGATGAAGGAAAATGTAAAAAATTATTGAACACTTTAGTAGGGGGACCTGATGGAAAGTTGACGCTCAGGTTAAAACATGAAATATGAACGAGAAGAAGTGGGAGGAAGGAGAAGGAAGGATTAGAGGAGAAGGAAGGAGGAGAGGAGGAGGAATGGCAAGGCAAGCAGGAGAGGGGAGGGAGGAAAGGGAAGGAAAAGAGGGAGGAAGGAAGAGAGAGAGGGAAGGAGGGAGGGAGGGAAGAAGGAAAGATGGATTCTGA